ATTCATAACAATAATAATATGACAGTGATGAAGTAGCAACGGAAGTGTTATGGTTGGGGGTCACCACCACATGAGGAATTGCATTAAAGGGAAGGGGTTCAGTTAGATCAAAGGTTCTCAATCTGTGGGTTGCGACCCCTTTGAGGGTCAAACGACCCTTTCACAGGGGTCGCCTGATTCATAACAATAATAATATGACAGTGATGAAGTAGCAACGGAAGTGTTATGGTTGGGGGTCACCACCACATGAGGAATTGCATTAAAGGGAAGGTTGAGAACCACTGGTGTAGACTGGCCAGTGTGCCACATTCATGGGAGCCTTCTAGCAGCAAACAGGGTCAGGGGGAGCTCTCCTGACAGCAGGAAGGCCCTGTCTGGCCCTGCAAGTTGCGATGACCACAACGTGGGCGCAAGGACAGGCGGGTGGGGTGGGAGGGGCCCTGGCCTGCCCCCTGAGTGCCCCACCGCCTACCCTGCAGGATTACCGCAACCCCCTGATGGAGATGGAGCCCAAGGTGCTGAGCGTCCGCAAGTGCCAGGCGGTGTTCTTCCGAGTGAAGGAGATCCTGCACTGCCACTCCATGTTCCAGATCGCCCTGTCCTCCCGCGTGGCCGAGTGGGACTCCACCGAGAAGATCGGGGACCTCTTTGTGGCTTCGGTGGGTGTCTTCGCTGTGCGGAATGGGTGCACAGGCCACAGTCCTTAGCCATAGCTGGTGCCGACAGGTGTCTGGGGGGCGCTCTGCCCCCGATTCGTGAGACCGGGTTCTGGTCCCAGCCCAGTTAAAAAAATATTGTGCAAACCACCAGCCCCTCCTTGGGAGGAAGGCGGGCTTTCTACTCCCGAAACGAGTTACAGTCTCAGAAACCCACAGGAGCGCTTTTGCTCCGCCCTCTTGGGCCACCACGAGTCTCAGCTCACTCAGTGGCAGTGACCAGCAATGTGTGCACACCTTGTCCCTCTGCTATTGCTTACGGTGCTCCCGAGAGTCAGCGTTCTCTTCCTCTCTCCTCCATTTCCTCTGTTTCCATTGATCCAGTTTCCCAGCCCCTTCTGGCCCTCTCACCTTTGCTTTTGGGGAGCATGAGACTCGCAGACAATATTATTTATTCTGTAAGACAATCTATTCGTTAGGGGAAAGGTGACCTTCAGAAAAAGCTTCTTTGAGGGCAGTTAATCCCAGGGGCCTCTCTGGCCTCTCCTGGGGCAGTAGGTCTGGCCTCTCTCTCAGGATCATACTTTTGTTCTAGGTTTTTTTTCTGTTCTATCCTGGGCCCTCTATTGGGCCCCTGGTGAAAACTTTCGGGCACCATCCAGTTTTCTGGTTTCGGGTGAGAGGCTGTGGTTCGTGTGGGCTCGTGGCCCCGTGGGGTAGTTTCTCCTTTGATCACTGGTTTCCTTCTTTCTCTCCGGCTCCACATAAGTAGAGACGGATAGCTGTGTCTTAGATGGCTGCCTGCTTACATGCTTTGAAGACCCCAGAGTCACCTCACCAAGCTAGGGTGTATAATGTTATCTTTGCAAAGTATTTTATGCCACTGGTCAGAGCTGCAAGACTGTGGTCTTAGGTCTTTTAATCCTGTACCCAGGGGACCTCAAACTTTTTAAACAGGGGGCCAGTTCACTGTCCCTCAGACCCGTTGGAGGGCCTATGTCCAATTATTCAAGGAAGACCGGAGGAGGATCGATGTATTTGAATTGTGGTGCTGGAGGAGAACATTCAAAGCACCACAGACTGCTAAAAGGACAAACTCATCTGTCTTGGAGGCAGTAAGGCCAGAGTGCTCCTTAGAGGCAAGACCTTGTCTCACGCACTTTGAACATCTTGTCAGGAGAGACCAGTCCCTGAGAAGGCCCTCATGGTTGGTAAAGCGGAGGGGTGGCAATGAAGAGGAAGGCCCTTGAGGAGAGGGACTGACACGGTGGCTGCACCCATGGGCCCAGGCAGAGGGACAACCGTGAGGATGGCACAGGCCCGGGCAGGGTTTCCTTCTGTTGTGCATGGAGCCGACTCGATGGCACCTCACAACAACAACCTATGCAACACAGGCAAATGGGGGCCCGCAGATACACCTGCACGTGTAGGTGCCTGCAGATACACCTGCATGTGTAGGTGCCCACAGATACACCTGCATGTGTAAGTGCCCACAAATATACCTGCACGTGTAGGTTCCCACAGATACACCTGCACGTGTAAGTGCCCACAAATATACCTGCATGTGTAGGTGCCCGCAGATACACCTGCACATGTAGGTGCCCGCAGATACACCTGCACGTACAGGTACATCTACTGGCACGTGTCTTTCTGCACACACACGCCTCCTTATTCACCTGAGTAACCGCACACTTACCTGCTCTGTGGTGGTTGTTACTGTTGGTGCAGTGTGTTCCAGCACTCACCGGATCGGTCCTCTTTCTCATGAATGTCTCATCTTCTGTGATTACCTGGGCCAGGCTGTGCTGACATCTTCCCTATGTGGGCTTGCCTTTCCCATCACCCAAGCGTCTACTCTCTTCAGCAGTGTTTCCCATAGTGGGCCATGCTGCCCCTGGAGGGGCCTGGGAACCACCCCGGGGCTGAAAAGCAAATACCTACGCGTTGTCCATGCTGCCCCTGGAGGGGCCTGGGAACCACCCCGGGGCTGAAAAGCAAATACCTACGCGTTGTTATTGAGATCCCAGGCCAAATGCTTTCAGTTGCCAGGACGACGTTGAGTAATATTGTGTGTGTGTGTGTGTGTGTGTGTGTGTGTGTAAAGGAGTGTGAGCCCCAAACAGCGTGGCTACTCATGCGCTATAAAGGCATTTGCCCCCTCTCTCCCTGCCGTCGGTTGTAACCAGCAAGGAGCGTTGCTTTCTGTGTGGTAGCCCTTATATTTCATAATAGTAGGACCGGAGCCTATCTATGTTTTTATGATTTGACTTATTCCCCTGAGCCTGGTGTCCGCGTCATGAGATGTTTTTTCCGCTCAGGCCTCATTGTTCTTTATGGTTGGGTAGTGAGTGCCCCGTGGCATGCATGTGTGTGCCTCCACTGATCCATCCGCTCGCCTGTCGCGGACAGCCAGGCAGTCTCCATCGTTGGGCTTTTGCAAGAATGCCTCCATGAACAGAGATGTGCGTGTGTACTTGTAAGAATCCTTCTGTAAATAAGAAGTTGTAAGTACATTGTATTTCTAGTTCCAGCTTTCTGGGGACGTGCCATCCTGTTTTTCCCGTGGTGGCTGCACCATTTATAATCCCGCCCGCAGTACAGGAGAGGTCCAATCCCCACACAACCTGCCCCGTGTTTGCTGTTTTCTGTTTGTTGTTTTTTTTAAGACACCACTGCTGTCTTTGCAGGGCCTGAGATGCGGCCGCGCTGTAGTTTTGATCCGCGTCTCTTTGGTGGCTAATGATCGATCACAAGATCTTTTCATGTCCTGTTGGCCACCTGGGTGTCCTCTGTGTGAAGTGTCTGTGCATCTGTTCATGCCCTTTGCCCATTTTTTGATTGGATTGTTTATCTTTCTCTTGGTAAAGTTTTTTTCATTTTTATAAACATTAGTATTTAATTCTTGGAAGGTCCCCAGTTATCTAATCCATCTCTGCCACTCTTGCATTTTCAGTTTTGTTAGATAGGCTGAAAATCATGCTGCCTGGGATGAACCCCGTGTTTGACCTTCCAGGAACTGCTTGACCTTCCAGGAACTGCATTGTTTCCTCTTTAACAGTTTTTTTTTTTTAATGACTGGTGTGAGGTGTGGATTCTGATTAATTTTTCTGTATGTGGATATGCAGTTGTTTGCTTTAACAGTGCCACTGCCCTCCATTGACTTATTTAATTGTAATTCGGTGAAGGTTTACAGAGCAGGTCACCAACTATATAGTCAACAATTCATCAAGCCTCTCTGCGGGTTGGCTCTGTTCCCGGCATTTTGTGCCCATCTTCCTCTTGTTGGACCCTGGCTTCCCTGTCAGCCGAGTTAACGCCTGTCTACGCTAGCTTGTGACTTCTCTGTGCAGCACACACCAATAGTGTTAGCTGTGGGTTTGGCTTAAACGCCAAAGTCTGCTTCATTTCATGTGAAGACCTTTTCCCGACTCTTCATCATAATGGTTTCCTACAATATTTGTCCTTTTCTCGCTCGGCTAATTTCACGCAGTGTGAAGTCCAGTTTTGGCAGCGCCATTTGTTAAAGAGACGCTTTCCTCCCCACTGAATGGACTTTGGCCCTTTGCCCAAGATCAGCTGCCCCTAGGTGGCCGACTTTACTTCTGGGTTCTCCGTTCTGTCCCAGGGGCCTGTGTGCCTGCCGCTGTGCCCGTCTGTTCGGGTGACTGCGGCTGTGGGGCAGGTTCTGAGATTGGGAAGCGGGAGGCCTCCCCCTTTGTTCCTCTCCCTCCACGCTCACTCAGCTGGAAATTAGACTTCCAGCTATTGGATAAGAGACTGCTGTTGGGATTCCAGCACATCTATCGATTGCTTTTGGAGATATTGCCAGTTCCACAATGTGAAGTCTTCCCATCCACGAGCACAGCGCCCCTTTTAGCTTCTTGAAGTAGCGTTTTATAGTTTCCCGGGTCTGAGTCTTTTACGTTGTTTCCTAGTTGTTGTTGTTTTATCCTCGGGGCTATTGTTAGTGGTATGGTGCTCTCGGTTCCCTTTCCAGAGACCTCCTTGTTAGTGCAGAGGAACCCCACTGATGTGTGTGTTGACCTTGTGCCTTGCCCCTTTGTTGAATCTTTCTGTTCGTCCAGCATCACTCTGTGGAGCCTTGGGATTTTTAATGTGCAGGGTCATGTCACATGTGAACAAAAATAGTTTTACTTCTTCCTTTCCAATTTGGATTCCTTCTCTTTCCCTTTCTTGCCTAATTGCACTCACCAGGACTTCCAGTATAATGTCGGTTAAGAGGGTGATCCGGGACATCCGGTCTCCTTCCCATCTGTTTTCGTGGAGAAGAGTGTTAGCTGTCAATTCGGCTCATATGCCTTGGATTATCCTGCGACATGTCTCTCCTACTCCTCTATGGTGGAAAGGGTTTGGTGTTAGGCTTTGCACATGCTTTTTCTACATCGATTGAGATGACCACATGATTCACTTCCTTTGTTTGATTTATGTGGTGAGTTACAGTAATTGATTTTCTAATGTTGAACCAACATTGCATCCTAATATGAATCCCACTTGATCACGAGCTCTTATTTTCTTGGATATGCTGCTGAATTCTGCTGGCTAGAGTTTTTGTGTCTATATTCATGAGGGTTGGTGGCCTGTAATTTCCAGTCTCGGCAGTGTCTTCGCCTGGCTTTGCTGTTAGATGATGCTGCTTTCATAGAATGAATTAGGGAGCATTCCTTCCCTTCCTGTGTTCTAGAATACTGTGAGTAGAAATGGTGTCAATTCTTCTCTAAACGTCTGGCAGGGTTCTCTAGTGGTACCGTCTAAGCCTAGGAAGCATGGGGTGTGGGCGGAGAGGAAAAGGCATTTTTCTTTTCAATGACCTTGACCTCTTCAATTTCTTTTTGTTGTTGTTATTATGCATCTGTTCAAATGTCTTACATCGATTTGTGTTACTTTAGGTAAGTAATGCATTTCTAGAAATTTGCCCCTTTACTCCAAGTTTTCAAATCTGTTGGTGTCCACATTTTTTGGATAATATTCTGTTTATGATTTTTCAGAATCCCCGTTGGTTCTGCCGTAATGTAACACGTCTCCTTTCCGAGTTTGGCTGTTTGCATCTTCTCATTTTTTACTTTATCAGCTTGCTCGACGGTTGTCAATTTGATTGATTATTTCAAAGAACCAGCTTCTAATCTTCATGGTCCTTCCTCATGTTTTCCTGTTCTCCGTTTCTGTCTGCCCTGATTGTGATTATGTCAGTCTGTCTGGTGGCTTCAGCCTTCCTTTGCTGCTCCTTTTTCTGTTGGCTCGAGGTGTAGGGCTTAGCTATGGAGTGTGACTCTTTTCTTTCCCCTCTCCGACCACTGCTTTTGCTGTGTCCCAAAGGTTGTGGTGTGCTATGTTTTTATTCTTATTTAATTCTAGGAACTTAAACATTTTCACTTCTTCTCTTATCAAGTAGTGCATACTTCAGGTAGTTAGTTTATTGTGCCAACCTGGCTGCTAAACACAGGTGGGGTTAATTGAAGGGCGGAGGGATAAATGGCTCAGTGAGCCTCACCTTTCTAGTTCTCGGTTCTCTTGCTTTCTGATGGTCCAACCAGGGTGGAGCTGCCTTAGCCAGTTCCCTGCTTTAGCTGGCAAGGCTCACTTCCTGCAAGACATCCCTGAGGAGAAGCCACATGGACCAACCTCCATGCAGCCCTGGGTGCTGGAGCAAGCATGTGGAGACCCCTGTCAGCGCGACGATGCTTATACATTCACTGACTTGGCTTTCCTCCTGCAGTCGACATCACAGAGTGTGTTTTGTGAGATGGAGGAGGACTTTGTGGATTGGTGTTGGACATATGGGTTAATGGGTTAATGTTGGACTCGTGGGCTTGGGCTGCACTGGGTTGGGATGTTTTCTTGATGTGCACTTACCCTTTACAGAAAACTCTCTCTTCTACATGAGTTTCTGTGGATTTGTTTCTCTAAGGTATCCAGACTAACACAGTACGTTATTCAGTTTCCATGCATTTACTTGTGTGGGTTTTGTTTTTTTTTTGCTGTTGAGTTATAGTTTTATAGCATGATAAGAAGATGGTTGGTATTATTTTGATGTTTTTGAATTAATTGAGGTTTTCTTTGTGGCCTAAAGTATGGCCCATTCTTCCAAATGAGCCATGAGCTTTGGAGAAGAGCGTAGACGGTTCTGCTGCTGGGCAGAGCTTGCCCGTGTCTGTGAGGGCAGGCCGGCTGGCTGGCTGTTACTTAGGTCCTCTGTATCTTTGCTGGACTTCATTCCAGTTGACCTGCCCATCATGGAAAGGGGCAGGTTGACATCTCCTACGATTACTGTCGCATCGTCTGCTTCCCTTTTCAGCCCTGTTAGAGGTTGCTGCTGTATCTGTTTTGGAACTCTGTCATCGGGTTGGGTGTGTGAGTGTTTGCTGTGGTCATGTCCACATGGTGGGTTCAGTTGTTAATTGGGTAGCTCCTGACCCCTCTAGGGGTTTGGCTTCCCCCCTTTGAGGGATAAAGGCTACACTGGACCCATGGCTTTCAAATTTCTGGGCCCCAGGAAGGTCAAGTGGATGGAACCCCACCTTTCCCTGTTTTAGGTCATAGGGATTCTGTGGCGGAAAAGACACAAAAACAACTTGTGTGAAGACCACACCAGTCTCTTATAACAAAAGCCACCCCCCTGCTTCAAGCCAGTTCTGGCTCACAGCGACCTAGTGGGTCAGAGGGTCAGAGCAGACACCCCCCCCACCCCCCCGTGGGTCTCAGAGACTCTGACTGTTTAAGGGAAAGGCCCATCTTTCTCCTACAGCAACCCATAGACCCATGGCAAAGCCCTGGTGGCCTGGGCTCGGCCTCTGAGGGGCTCAGGGGAGAGAGTGGTTTCTTCCAACTCAACTTGGAGGTAGCACCAGGAACAGGAGCAGACAGGCCTGCCTCCTCTTCTGTTGACTGGGGCCTCTGGCTCAATCCAGACGCAGAGGAGAGACCTCTACTGGCCCCTGGCTCCCATCCCTTCTGCCTGGGACTGCCCACGAGTCCCCGCAGCTCTCTGAGCCCTGGGGGGATGAAGGCCCTCAGGTTGCCGTGACAAAGCACCGCACACTGGGGGCTTCAGACCCAGCAATGTGTTGCCCCCTTGTTCTGGAGGCCAGAGGTCTGAAAGCAGTGTCCGTGGGCCTGGTCTCTGCTGGGCCTTGCCGGCACTCCTTGGCTTTTCGCTGCATCACTCCAACCTCGGCCTCTGTCATCACGTGGCCGTCCATCTGTCTCCCCTGCCTGTCCCTGTGTTTCCTCGTCTATACAGTTCCCCAGTCCCACCCTATTCCTAGGTGAACCGATTGGGTCTTCAAAGACCCTGTTTGCAGAACCAGGGCCTGGCTTTCTGGGCTTTGGGACTTCAGCGTCTCTATAACATTCTTTATTTTTGGCATCAGGGAAGGACACACGCTGAAACCCGACACTCGGCTGTCTCCCCTTCAGGGGGCTGATGCTCTTACCCACCTCAGAGCAGGTTCCTCCCCTCCCCTCCCGGGGGGGCTCCCTGAGTGCCACTTACCTGGACCCCCACCTTCCCTTTCAGTTCTCCAAGTCCATGGTGTTGGATGTGTACAGCGACTACGTGAACAACTTCACCAGCGCCATGTCCATCATCAAGAAGGCCTGCCTCACCAAGCCCGCCTTCCTCGAGTTCCTCAAGGTGGGCCTGAGGACGGTTGGGGGTGCGCAGGGGAGGAGGGGAAGGCTTCTTAGGAGGGAGGGAGGGAGCGCTCTAGTCCCAGCATCGGGGGACCACATTGTTGCTTTGGCCTGACACTGCCTCTTTCCTTCGGGGCACCTCTCATGCTCTCAGAAGAAATTATCCCCTCCTGTCCTTCTCCCCCAGCCCCAGAGGAGGGTCATTAAGAGCTGAAGGGTCGGCAAGGAGCTGGGCATCCTTGGTCTTCCGCAGAGGGGCCGGAGAGACCGAGGGGTCTTGCTGATCCCTGGGGTAGCCCAGTAGCTTGTGTTTCCTGGAGGGCTGGGTGCCAGCCAAACATAGGCAGCAGAGGTGGGTCCTCTGTCCTCTGGGACCCTTTGCCTCCAGTCGAGGAGCCGCAGCCTCGGGAGGGGGTGTCACCTGACATGGGCCTGGAGGGGTGGGATTGTAACCGGCGGGGACAGAGGAGAGGGTAGCCCAGGGTCATGGTGGAACAGGGCAGGTCTGGTTAGATTCAAGAGCACTGGGTTCCTGCTGGGGGCTTCTGGGAGTTCAGTTTGGAGGATTCTGGACCGGTAGGATCTGGGAATCCAGGTTTTGCGTTGGGGCGGGAGGGAGGTGGAGGCTCTGGGGGTGCGTGGTGGGAACAGATGGGAAGCAATAGGAAACTGGGAAGACCCCGGTGTCCCAGCCCCCACTCTGCTTTTCCAGTAGGTGCAGGAAATGGTTGATTTGGCTACTTCTAGAAGTGGGCCTTCTGAGTAAATTGCTGAATTTCCTAGTAAGGCCTTGAGGTCAGAGACCTTAAAACAGTGGTTCTCAATCTTCCTAATGCTGCAACCCTTTCATACAGTTCCTCATGTGGTGGTGACCCCCAACCATTATTTTCATTGCTACTTCATCACTGTCATTTTGCTAGCTTTGAACCGGGCGACCCCTGTGAAAGGGTCGTTTGACCCCCAAAGGGTTCTTGACTCACAGATTGAGAACCGCTGCCTTTAAAGGACTGTCCTGGCCTCCAAGGGTGGGAAGGCCCTGAGGGGGACGTGGGTGGTGGGAGGGACCCTCTGGCAGCAGACCCAAGGACCTTTGGCAGCTCTAGGGGCTGGTGCTGTGACAAGCCCATGGGGGTGGTCCTTCCTGGACCCCAGCCTCTGGCCCTGCCCGTGGAGGGTCAGAGAGCCATGAGACCTTGACCCCAGCAAAGAGCCCCTAGTGGTGCAGAAGTGGGTGACTCACGCCCCCACGGAAGCACCCTGGTGGCAGGCCTGGGGTCCTTCGTAAAGACCACCGCCTGGAGAAGAAGCCAGGGTGTCAGTGGTAGAGCAGCCACATGCCCGGCTTTTTGTGCCCCACAGAGGCGGCAGATTTGCAGCCCGGACCGCGTCACCCTCTACGGGCTGATGGTGAAACCCATCCAGAGGTTCCCGCAATTCATCCTCCTGCTCCAGGTGCCACCCAGCTGCCCCACCCCTGTCCAGTGGGCTTCTGGGAGTGGGGAGGCAGGCCCGGCCCCCTGCAGTGCATCACCTCCCCCGGCCGGCCCTCTGGGGGATCGTCCCACCCGACAGCCTCCTTGCCCTTGCCTGCACCCAGGAGCCAGGTGAGGGGACTCTGGCCCAGTGCTGGGTCTCATCTTGCCCTGTTCTGGATTCCTGGGGCCGTGAGCTGGGGCCACCTCAGGGGCCCTCCTGAGGCATCCCCTTGACCCTCAGAAATTACCAGCTGCTGGTGGCCTTCAATCCCAGCACCCAGTGCTCTGTTAGCTACCCAGGGGGTAACTGCCTCGGTTTTATTTACCGTCACTGCTGTGCTGCCTGGGAACCGAACCCTCCTTGGACCTGGTCTGCCTAGGGGCCCAAGGATGGGTCTGCTGGGGTTTCTGAGCCTGGCTCTCTCTGGGCCCTGGCAGGACATGCTGAAGAACACCCCCAGGGGGCACCCCGACAGGCTGTCCCTGCAGCTGGCCCTCACGGAGCTGGAGACGCTGGCTGAGAAGTTGAATGAGCAGAAGCGGCTGGCCGACCAGGTGGCCGAGATCCAGCAGCTGACCAGGAGTGTCAGCGACCGCAGCAGCCTCAACAAGGTGCGTGCGTGCCTGCTGACCTCCCTCCCCTGCGCTGCAGCCAGCTCACCTGTCACCCAGCGGCCCGCTTCTCGGTCACCACTAGGTGGCAGTGCCCTCTGGGCCCAGGGAGTCCTTGCTTTCCTGGGTCCACAGCCTTCCCCCTCCCCCCCGCCCGGGAGTGGTTCTAGATGGAGCCCACCCCTCAAAACCCGGTCCTTCTCCTTCGTCGCTGGTCGGGTTGTTTTAGCTTACAAGCTGATTCCGTGGGTCAAGACGACTGCAATGACAGCCTGGTACAGCGGTCAAGAGGGGTTAGGCCCAGAGTTTACCCCCAAATCCAGATTTGCCACTACTCTTTTGCTGTGTGGCCTCAGGAAAACCGCCCAACCCTGCTGAGCCCCATGGGTTGGAATAGTGTCTGACCCCCGGGCTGCGGCGAGGCACATGGGGCTCCTGAAAACTGTAGGCTGACACCGGGGGTTACTTTTTTAGAAAGGGGAAGGCGCAGATCCCACCCCCCCACAGCTGGGGGGGCTGCCACGTAGGAGCATTGCAGTCAGAAAAAAAGTCCCCCCAAACGCATGTGTGAGCACCTGCCTTTAAAACTCGAGGCCTTTGTCCTCATGTGGGGGCAGCATGTCGGCGTGGTAGCTGAGGCACAAGTCCAGGACAGGCACACAGGCAACAGTCCCTCCTAGAACCAGCTCTCCACCCCGCTGCCGCCCCGCCCCGCCCATCAATCTGGGTTTGGGTGGTCCCCACTGGGTGTGCTCCACCTTCCTGGTGGGCAGAGGCGGCCAGGATAGCTCTGTGTGGGCGACCACGCCACTCTGGAGGGAGCAGGAGCTGTTCTTTGGAGAAGGGACATAGGAGCGTCATAGGGATGTGTTCTGACCCCTGGGGGACAGGAACAGGAGCCTCAGAGTGGCCCTCAAATGGGAGACAAGGCCGGTCAGAGCAGAGCCTGGGAGGGAGGGAGAGAGGGAGGACTCCACTCTAAAAAACAGCCCTTTCCGCAGGCCCTGCGCCTCATAGTGTGCACTGCGCCCTAACCCACGGTCCTCTTGGCAGCCTGCTAAGTGCGCAGGGGCCATGGGGGCCTTCAGGGCTCCTGCATCTGAGCCCGTGCTCCCACCCCACGGCCAGTCCTTGTCGCAGATGAGTGTTTGGCCCGCAGAGTGTGTGTAAGGCAACACTTAACATTTGAGTGATGCCCATAGAGCTCAGATGCCTGGCTCTTCTTGAAGGCTGGGCAGACAGAGCTGGTCCACTGAGCAAGGCCTCTTCACTGTACCTCTGGTCCCCTGCCCTGGGTGGACAGAGCTGGCAGGGATGAGCCTTCCCCTCCAGTCCACAGAGCCCCTCTCAGAGTGCCTGTGTGTGCCATGGCCTTTGCTCTGCGGCGCCTGCTGCTTTGATTGCCCCCGTGGCCCCCTTCTCTTCACCCAGGAGCCTTTCTCCCGCCCCGTCTCTGGCCTCAGCAGCAGAAGCCAGTGGAGTTTGACTTGTCCCCTTGGGGACCTGGGAACTGGGCCCTGCACCCACATTGGCTCCTTGCCAGCACATCCCAAGTGCCGACGATGGCTTGTCTGATGGTGGGCGAGGGGCTCAGCTCTCCGAGCCTCAGTTTCTCAATCCATGAAATGGGGGTGTCGGATACCGTTTCAGCATAGCATTTCAGCTGGTGGCTGCAGCCTCCACCTCACCCCCTGGCCATCCCTGGATGCCCGCAGCCAGCTTGGCGACTTTGCTGTTGCCACCCTCCCACCACCGAGAAGCGGATCTGAAAGTGGGTGTCGGCGGAAACGGAACCACTGCGCTGGCTATTGCAGAATGTGCCCCCTTAGGACCCTCCTGAGGGTGTTTGTGAAATGTGTGGCTTTAACTCCTGCTGAAACTCTGAGGGGTGGGGGTGAGTGCCAGGGGCCTGGGACCCTCTTTGTCCTCGTTGTGGGCTGCGCACAGATGGCACTTCCTGCTGCCCTCTGTGTCTGGCTTCGTCTCAGGAACTGGCTCAGCAGGCCCCCATGGGTCTGGAGCCCAGGGTCCTCTCCTGGCCCAGCCACACCCAGCCAGGGGCTTCACGGAGGGCCTCTGGCCTCTGCGGCGCAGCTCACTCTGTCCAGCATGGCCTTGGTTTTCTCTGGGGAAGTGTGGACAGCCAGCCTCCCTCCAGGAGGGCGGAGCACATAGACACAGTCCGTGTGCCAAGCTCCAGCCCGGGCAGGAGGCTCTGGGTTGTGCATTGACTTGAGATGCGGGGCTCTGCCGAGGGGTGAACTGTCCTTTCCTCAGTGTGTGTGGGAGGGTGCATTGATGGTGAGGAAAGTGACCGGTGTTATCAGAGTCACAGGTTTGGGGCTGGTTTCTCCTGAATTCTTCCTGAACATCACCCCCGAGGGGAAGAAAGCTGTCCTCCAGGGGCCCTGGCCTGGTGGCCAAGCCCAGTGCTCGGAAGGGGTCCCCGGAGGCCAGGCGAACATGGCAAATGCCTGCTCAGGTGCCTGAGGCTTGGAGGCTTCTGGCCTCCTCCGAGCTGCCTGGCTGACCAGCAGGTGTGTCTGCAGGGCAGGACAGTCCTAGCTACCCAGCGGGTCAGGGTTCAGGACCCGAACCTTCTTCCATGCCAGGGCCTCCCACCTGAGGTCCCTCCCCCCATGGACAGTGACACCCTGGGGGTTGGCCCCACAGCTCCGCCTGATGTCCGGTTGGTGCCCCTCAAACCCTCAATAACCTGTGAATAAGGCGCCCTGCATTTTATTCCACATACCGCATCCACCCTGGTCACGCGCTACCTTGTGTGGTCTGAGACGTGAGGGAAACTGAGGCACGGAACAGTGAAGAGACTGCCTCAGGACTTCCCAGCTGGCTCATGGAGGAGCAGGGCCTGAGCTCGGCCTGCCGGGCTGGTGACCGGCACACCTGGGGAGGGGTGCCGCTGCCGTGGGGCTGATTCGAGATGGCGGGGGTCAGACACCGCAGAGCAGGGAACTCAGCAGGGCTCTCGGGCCTTCCTCCCCCGGGGTACCCTGTCACCCAAGGATGTACGGAGTGGCTCACTGACCCTGCCCCTGCCTGGCCAACCACCCCGCAACAGCATGGTGGAGGATTGTGGGTCTCCGGTTAGCTGGGTAACAGCCTGGGCCACAGCGCTGGTGTTGACCTTGCTGTGCTCCACCCTCCCCTTCTCCCCCCAGCTGTTGACCTCTGGCCAGCGGCAGCTGCTGCTGTGTGAGACACTGACGGAGACCGTGTACGGTGACCGTGGGCAGCTGATCAAGTCCAAGGAGCGCAGGGTCTTCCTGCTCAATGACATGCTGGTCTGTGCCAACATCAACTTCAAGTAAGCAGGCCGGGCCAGCCCCGGTCACCTCCTGCCTGTCCAGTCCCCCCACTGGCCTCCCTGTGGCCAGTCCAGCAGAGTCTGTCCTGATTCAGAGTGATCCGAGTGTCTTTCTGTAGGCTTTCAGCAGAGATGGCCTGGCCTTTCTTCTGAGGCATGCCTGGGTGGGCTCCCACCTCCAGTGAGTCCAGGAAAGGGGCTCCAGCTCGGTTTCGGCCTCTGGTATCCCAGCCTCCTCTCTTGTCCCTCCCGGCCTGCTCTGTCTCTGGTCCCAAGACCCCACCTGCTCTGAGGCTCTGCACTCGGTGACCAAGCAGCCTGGGCACTGTGCCCACTTTGGAAACACGCAAGTCCTGCTCTGTCCAGTCCAAACGCCTCCTGCTTTACTTCACACCCATTTCCCCATGGCTAGGTCTTAGAGTGTCTACAGGTTGAGTCTCCCCGCCCCACAGTCCAGCACATCTTCTGCCCACAGAGCCGGGCTCCCCAACTGTAGCTCAGAGGCGTAGACATGCTGGGCCAGGGACCAGGGACCAGGGGCCAGGTGGTGCCTGAGTTTGAATCTGGAGGCGGGGTGAAGGTCAGGTGGGGAGGAAGGTGAGAGTGAGGGTGATTCTTTGCAGAGTCTGCAAACTGGTTCCCATAGGGTTGGATTGCACCTCCACCCACAGTCAAAACAAAACATAGCCAAACAGCACAAAAGAGACCCAAACCCATTGCTCTCTGTTCAATTCCGATTCGGGTGAGCTCAGTCTTACAGAGTAGAGTGGCCCCAGAGGGCCTTCTTGGCCTTTCTTCCTGGTGCCGCCTGGTGGGTTTGACCCTCCCACCTGTTGGTTAGGAAATGAGAGCAAGCACGTGGCTCGGGCCGGCGGGAGTCTGTGCTTGCCTCACACCCAGAATTCACACGCAGGCTGAGAGAGTCAACTTCCTTTCACAATTGGGCAGCCCCCAGCCAGCTTAAAAGGACCCTGGGAGTGTAATGGCCGAACTGGCTGTTAACCGAGGTCGGTGGTTGGAGCCCGCCAGCGGTTCTGCGGGAGGAAGGCCCTATAAAAATTACTCCCCAAACCCCAAACTCACTGCCACCACTCATAGCGACCCTGCAGGACAGGGTAGAACTGTGCCCGTGGCTTTCTGAGACTGTAACTCTTGGCAGGAGTAGAAAACCTCATCTTTCTCCCAAGGAGTCGGTGGTGGTTTTGAACTGATGACCTTGCAGTTGGAAGCCCAACACGTAACCACTATGCCACCAGGGCTCCTTCCCATGAAGATGACAGCGTAGAAACTCCCAAGAGGGCATTCACCGGCAAGCTGGCCACCTTTTAGGGGCCACAGGCACCTGGGGCCGAGGAGCGAGCAAGGTCCTTTTAGCAGCGCTGTTCCCACCTGGCGCAGCTCACTCGCTGCTGTCCCGGCTCAGCCAGTAAGCATCAGGCATTGCCACTCACTGCCAGCCGCTTCCCGAGGACTCCAGCTGTGATCTTTGCAGTCAGCTGTGACCTTCGAAGTCAGGGCTCTTGTTTCCTCGAGTGGGGGAGGATGGCTGCTCTCAATATTTGACAACATGTAAAAATATCACGCAGACAACAATGTAGCAACAATAGCTGGATCGTCTGCCCTCCTGCTCCTCCAGCCGGCCTCTCCCTCCTCCCAGCAGGAGCAGGAGCAAGAGGCGGCTCTGCCCGGCCTCAGTCTCCGGGTCCCGGAATACACACTCCCGGGCCCACCACCTACCACCTCTCATCTGCTCATCCACCCCGTGTTGATTAACACTGCACCATGGGCCAACTCCAAACAAGAGCTGGCCCTGTGTCGGGGACCCGGCACGAGGGCTTTGCCGGGCAGCTTGTGTCACCAATCCTGGTGAGCAGTGCCGGCTGACCAACAGGCCCACAGGTTACTATGACCAGGCACTGTGCAGGACAGGGACATGACCAACAGCCTCTCTGCCCCCATGCCACTCAGGATCTGCTGGGGCAAACGGTGGGATGGGTTGCCAGTAGCCCAGTTTGGAGACTCAGTTTGGGTGACTTGGGACAATGCAGGTACCCTAACAGGGCTGCTGGGAGAAGCAGGGCCTACCTCTGGCCATGACTCCTACCATCCAGTGCTGGCCCCCAGGAGTCTCCATCCCCTTGAGAGCACACGGTCCCAGGAATGACCTCCCTTCCCTCTTGTCTTTCCCCTCAGGCCTGCCAACCACAGGTAGGTGGTGCGGGGGGCTTGGGGTTCAGTGGGGCATGGGGTTCTGGATCGGGGCTGGGCTTGGCGCCCTGGGGCTTCTGCCTCCACAATAGCTCCCGCCCTGCCTGCCTGGGTGCTGGCTCTGCCTTATGCTTGGGCTGCACGTGCCTGGCTGGGCTGGTGTGCGGAGGCTGTGCTGGGCTGGCTCTGTGTGGGCAAGGTGTGGGCGCTCTAGGGCCTTGTCGTCTCTGTCCCTGACAGGGGCCAGCTGGAGATCAGTAGCCTGGTGCCCCTGGGGCCCAGGTACGTGGTAAAGTGGAACACAGCGCTGCCTCAGGTGCAGGTGGTGGAGGTGGGCCAGGAGGGCAGCGGCTACGACAAGGACAACGTGCTCATCCAGCACTCCGGTGCCAAGAAAACCCCTACCGCTGGCCAGGCCCAGAGTGAGTGTCCCCGCCACCCCTGGGACCCCAGGCTGACCCCAGGGCAGCTCG